CAGTAATATGATGATGGAATGCTCACTATTGATTTTAAGACAAACCTGCTTAACAGAAACATGAGTGTATTTCCCTATTTGATATTACTACATATTTAAAACTCTGTATCACTGTCCAGTTACAAAGAAAAAGAACTACAGTTTCATCCATTTTACTTTCATTAAGGAAAACTCAGGCACGAGCCTCTTTCTGCTACTGACTTTACTGCTTTACTGCTTACCCTGGGAGAGTCATAGCTATTGCATTATGCAGTTTATTTGTCTTTTAAAATCAGCATCCAAGTGTATAAGGCAGTGGTTCTCAACCTTTTTAGACTCACAGCACCCTTTGGAAATGCCGACTTTTTGTTTCCCCTAATGTTTTGACTATGGGAAAATAATAGAGATTTTTTCTGTTGTGAAGAACTCAGAAAGACCAGAAAAAGATTTGACTTGCATCAAAACAGGAGTAAGACAGTCATTTACACAGGAGGCTTAAATGACAATTAACTCAAATTAGCCACAATTGTTCCAAGGCAAACTACAAATTCTGATATTTCACAAGTACTTAATAGTGGGCTTGTCCCTCTATAATGTCTTTGGATTGCTGTGAGACAAAATGCTCAAACATGTATTAAACCGGCAGTCTGTTTTTAGGGTAAGACAAGTGATTAATCTACCCTGGGACAAAAACTTTCATCCTGGGATCCTACATGCCTACAAACTCATCATCCCATTTTACTTTCTGTGAAGTACCTGAATTAGAACTTTGCCCCTGGATAATCAAGGCTAATTCTAATTATTACCATTCATGCTGCTTATGTAAACAATTGTCCTGACCTGTTTTGATGCAAGTCAAAATTCTGAACAATCAGCCCTGGATTGACTCAGCCATCTGTTTTTAGCCTTATATATGTTGGCAGCACTGGAGGACCATCACAAAGTGCTGTCTCCTGTGTCATTTTCTTTTACGTTAGAGCTCATATTTCCAAGTATTTGCAATGAGCTTTGCTCATGAGGCCATCTACTGACCCCAACATGACTGGACTGCTTTACATCTTTGGTGAGAGCACTTTGGCACTAGATTTCATATGCTTCCTGAAAACTGAGGTAAGATCCATCGTGGGCAACTGCTCTAAGGATTTAGAGATCAAGGGTTCCAGGACCCCTCAAACACAAACCAGTCCTGCTTTCACTTGACTTCAAATAAGTCTTAGCGTGGACTGAGAATCCACTTGTGACCCTGCAGTAGTCTGCTTCCCATACCTGCAAGTAAGAGCAGAAAATCTCTTCAGTGTTCTGGCTGTTCAGGTGACCAGTATACTACAACAAAGACCCTATTTTCTGCATGGATAGTGCTAGCCAATGCATTACTGAGTTTAGTTCCAGCTTCAGGTTTTCCTTTCTAGCTACAGAGAAGCTGAGGACTCAGTAGTGAGCAATGACTCCCTGCCAGCCTGTTAGGCCAGTGCTTTTCAACCTTTTTTAATTTGTGGACCCCTAAAAAATTTTGAATGGAGGTGTGGACCCCTTTGAATTGTAAGCGAAGGTATTGACATGCTTTTGATTGATCCTAGTCAACTTTCACAGACCCTTTAGATATAGTCTGCAGACCTTGCCCCCCGCTCCCCAAGGGCATGTGGACCACAGGTTGAAAACCACTGTGCTAAGCCAACTCAAATGAATAATCAGGGGCATGGCACTGGCAAACAGGAAGCACAGCAAGTATATTTCATGTTAGCAGTTGTGAAGACCCTGGACCGGAAAAAGCAATCAACATAGATGACATCTAAGCAGCACTACCAGAGAGTAGCTCCATGGTAATGCCAATTGCTGTTGCAGTACCAGGTGTTAGTGACAGCCAGTCTGCCCATAAGGTCTTATCAGCTTGTCACAGAACCTGATTTGCACTCATTCCCAAGGGGCGATGGCAGGAGCACAGGACTCTGGGCACTTTGCAGCTTGCAACCCAGATCCAATCTCTGGGACAGAGGAGAGGGGCTTTTGACTTTCCCCACTGTAACTGGTTGGGAAACAGTGAATAAAGGGGTGTCAGTGAGGTCTGTGTGTTGCAGAGGGGTGGCTAAGACTGCTGCGGAGAGTGGTGGCTGTCTGGGAATCCTGCTTTCATGACTGAGCATCAGTGCCTAAAGCATAGTCTGGGAAGGGAGTGGATTGCATTAATGTGAGGGAGAGTCTTTTGCATGTGTCTGTTGGGGTGGAAGGCTCTAGGAAGAGGCAATCTTCATCTCAGTGTGACGTGCAGGACCATGAGGCCAAATCACAGGACAGAGTCCCACTAGCCTGGGGGACCGATGAGTCTTCTCTTCTGTCAGTAACATCCTCTCTGGGTGAGTCAGGCAGATGCCCTGCAGGGCTCCAGTTTCTTTCCACACAAGGGAAGAGCATTCCCTATACCTGCCACTGCTGTAGGGCTAGAAGCCAGAATAGGAGGTATTGCCTCTTGGAGAAGGCAGAAGTGGCTCTGTGTGTGTGTCTTGTGGGGGAGATCTATTCTCCCCCAAGCTGGAACCAAACAGTTACCCTTTTATTCCCAGCATCTTTAAGAATTTCATATCCAAGTTAAAACTTGTGAGTGTTGACACATAACACTTTGTCACCTGTGTAACTTACCCTGGTTTAATACATGTCAGTTCTACTGGTGTCTCCAGCTGACAGACTCTCAGTTCTCTGGAGGTTTCTGGCCTCAGTAGGAGCACTTGCCCAGTAGGTGGCAGGGAAATAATTTATCTGCATTGAGCAAATAGGTCCCCAGACAGAACTGACTAGAGCTCTGGACATAAGACATCCACTGGCATAATTTACACTACTTTCCCAGATGTGACTTTAATTAGCAGTACAGGTTATCCTCACTTTATGTGGGTTCTGTATGTGTAAATTCTCTCTTACGTGATGACCCTTTTTATATAAAAATTCATTATATGCATGGTAAATTCACTCTTATGTGATCCATGTGGTGGAAGCCCACAGTCAGCTGGTTTGTGCGGTGCACTGTGGGAGTGACACACACCAAAATACAGTCTTCTGTGTGGATCCATGCTCCTTGCTCATTGTCTGTGACACGTTTTTGTAGTTGCCCTCCCCATTATAGTAATATTCACCACTACCCTGTGTTTGTGTGTACTGTCTGCTCTTGGCAAGTATCAAAATTGTCTTGTAAAAGTGGTAGAAATGGGCCTGGGGCTCAGTACAGTCAAGGTCTTGGAACGTATTCCTATTTGTTACATTGTAAAGTGGGTTCCCTTTATGTGAATTTGAGTTATATGCTTTTTCCAGGAACGCATGTACAGCATAAAGTAAGGGAAACCTGTAGAGTGACTTATATTATGATAGGGTTGTACTTTGTGTATTCACTTCCCATTTACACAAGTATGAAGGCAGATTACATTGGTGTAATTGTGTCTTGTGTCCACATTTCTGTCTAATGCAGTTGTAATTTGTATTATCCAGTATTGCCATTTTCCCCTTTGTTCCAGAGTAGACAAAACAGATGGACTTCTCAGGGAAACAAATTGAGAAAATAGTGGTAATGGTGAACCTGTTGTCTCAGCCATAGTCTCTGCTGGCTTGTTCTTCACTGACTGGGTTCCTTTTGGATTTAAGGCAAGTGAAAGGAAATCAGACTCTACTTATCAGGCTGGCTTCATCTCCCTTGTGGTTTGATGGATTTTTAGTTATTTCTGCAGCAAAGCACCACTCTTAGAACTGGCTTTGTATAGGAGAAACTGTTGTCTAGGATATAGATTCCAGTGACCACAAAGAGTTTGTTTCATCCTTTCAAAAATATTACACACCAGCTAGTTTCCTGTAGGGGAAGAAGTAAAGTTGTCTCTGATATCTGGCTGTAGGTACATTATGTTGCATCTGTCAGGGCACAGGACCAAGTGAAATGTGAATGCAGCATTAGCAGGGGAATTTGAATATGTCTTATTTGAAAATTCACCTGCAGAAGACCAAATAAATAATATTATCTCGCCCATTAGTTGAATACAACTATCAGGACAGAGTTAGTTTTTGGCTGAAATATCATTTTTATTTTTAATAATCAGTTCTTGTTTCTGTTGTGCAATGAAAGAGATATTTGCTTTTAATGCCATCTTTAATGCTGCTTTCTGTTTAGATTGGTTTAGTTATATTGTTGCTGCCTTAATTTGAAATAAAGGAACATTTTTTGATTTCTATCAGAGCAGCTAATAGTAGTCCTATTAACATGGCAGAGCTGAGCTAGTGCTGGGACTAACAGATCAGAGTAATGGGCTCATCATCTGACTTCCAGCAATTCTCAAACTGTTCATGACTGCAAGAGGTCCCTAGGACATCCTTGTTAAACATACCAAGATAGAGCCACTGGACCCAAAATTTGTAGTTTGTCCATGTTAACTCCCAAACCAAACAATCAAACAAAGAAACGTTCCCATTAATATGGTAAGTGAGGGAAAGCCAGGTGGTTTGTGGAGGGGTCGGGGCCTGAAAACATGTTGCAGCAGTTCAGCTGTTTCCAATGGGATAGCAGGAAATTCAGACAAGGGGGAGCAGGAAAACCCTGCTCTGTGATCTTGAAGCTGCTTTATCTCTCTGGCTTCACAACATGACTGACATCCTCAGGAAGCACATGGGCAGGTCACTTCTGCAGTGCTTGTGGTGTAGGAAATTGGCTCCACTGCCGAAACTGTCTGAATCACTCTCCCTTTTAGCAGGGCATAGGGCCAGTTCTCTGAGATTTATTGTACCTTCAGTAAGCATATACTGTGGCACAGACTTCTGCTCTTAACCAGATGAAGCAGCTCACCCAAATAGGCTTCATCTAGTTCAGCGTATAATCCTGTGTCCACTAAAATCAATGAGAGCTCTCTAGTGGTTTAGGTGACCACATGATTAAACATTCAGTGAGCTGATCACTTCCCTTTCACCCGAGACCTCGGGGTTAATATACCCAGAGCACAAAAATCAACAGAAAAGGAAAAAGAAATGAGCAACATGAAGTCAAAACTGACCTTCCCGTTCTTCAAATGGCTGAAGAACCTGAAGAATGTTGTGCCAAGGGTGAGCGGGTCAGAGCTCTGCTTTAAAAAGCCTGTGGCTTCTCGCGTACGCCTCACTTCTATCCACAGATGAACTGGCAGCACGCTTGGGCGTTTTCCCGTGCTAATGCTGGTTTTGCTTTGACAGACCTTCAAGCGACAGGCAAGATCTCGGCAGGAAGAATGTCCGTATCTTCCCGACTGTTTCATCCATGGGAACATATTCAGCCTCCGGAAATAGCTCGCACACGTTCGAAAGGTTTCCCTTGAGACATTTAACAATGAAGATCGGCTAATTTTGTAACAGTTTTTACATTTTTCTTTAATCCAGTGCTGTTATACAGACTGTACTTTCCTGGCTGGCTTACAGTTAGCCGTTAAGTCTCTAGGTGGCACTGTCCACCACTGAGGTACCCAAGAGAAATAGGAGCTTTTCCCGTCCACATGATCACATATAGCAAAGGCAGCTGCAATAAAAGACCTGGCAGTGGCTGGCTCAGCAGGCGATAACTCGGTGATGATTTCAGGGAGCACGAGAAAGAATATATGCTCTTTCCCCACATTTTAGCAAAAATGTATTGTTGTTTTTCGTTTTTTTAAGTTTTCTTTCTGACTATTTTACCAGTTTTCAGAGGTGGGATGACGTCAGCTATTTGCTGAAGTATTGGATTATGGTACTGTTGAACCTGTCTGCAGGGAGCTGAGCCAGGGAAGGAAGAATGCGGGTCTATCTAATGGTGCTCTGCCTTATTTCCTACTCCGTGGATGGGCAAATCGCGTACTCCATCTCCGAAGAAACGGGACGTGGGGTATCTGTTGGGAATATAGCAAAGGATTTAGGAATAGATGCGGCTACACTTTCATCCAGGAAATTTCGCATGATCACCAGTTCAAGTAAGCAATATTTTAATATAGATGTAAGCACGGGGGCTTTGTCCGTTAATGAGCCCATAGACAGAGAGCAGGTTTGTGAATTAAAAACGACCTGTTTTCTGAATTACGAACTTGTTCTAGAAAACCCTCTAGAGCTGTATAAAATGGAATTTAAGGTGTTGGACATCAATGACAACTCCCCCAGCTTCCCTTTAAATGAATATCGCTTAAACGTAGCCGAGTTTTTATCACCCGGGGCTCGATTTGCACTCCCCGATGCCCAAGATCTTGATGAAGGCACCAACAGTGTCCAGATCTATACTCTGAGTCCTAATGAACATTTCCGTCTGGAAATGCAAATATGCGGAGACGGGAGTAAGTATCCTGAACTGGTACTGGAAAAAACCTTAGACAGGGAGCAACAAGCCATCCACAAACTCGTAATTATAGCCAAAGACGGTGGGACTCCCGAGAGGTCCGGTGATGCCGACGTCGTTGTGACAGTTCTCGATACCAATGACAACGCTCCAGCGTTTGAACATTCCGTCTACAGGGCAAGTATCTTGGAGAACTCCCGCAGCGGCACGCTGGTAACCCGAGTGCATGCCACTGACTTAGATGAAGGTCAAAATGGAGAAATCAGGTACTCATTTAGCAATAGCACTTCTGCTGATCTACAGAGAATGTTCCTAATTGATCCCCAAACTGGGGAGGTAAAAGTCAATGGCATTTTAGATGTCCAGAGACCCCTTCTAGAGATGTTCATCGAGGCCAGGGATAAAGGAGCGTTCGGGATGTCCAGCACAGCTAAGCTGCTGGTGGAGATCACTGATGTGAACAATAATGCCCCCGAGATCACAATCACGTCTCTTTCCAGTCCCATCCCCGAGGATGCTTTGTCCGGAACTGTGATAGCTCTTTTGAGTGTTAGGGATAAAGACCCTGGAGAGAACGGGAAGGTAACCTGTCAGATCCCTGCCAACTTTCCCTTTCACCTGAAATCGTCTTTCGACAATTACTATAGTCTGGTCACGGATGGGCCTCTGGATCGAGAAGGGGTCAGTGAGTATAACATCACCGTCACTGCTATGGACCTTGGGTCGCCTCCCCTGGCCACTCGGAGGACACTGTGGGTGCAGATCTCGGACGTGAACGACAACCCTCCCAAGTTTGCCAGCTCAGCATGCGACATCTCTGTGACAGAAAATAACCTTCCTGGGGCGTCCCTGTACCAGGTATCAGCGTCTGATCCCGATGTGGGGGAAAACGGCCGGATTTCTTATACACTCAGGGACATGGGTTTTGAAGGCGGCGCTTTGTCCAGCTTTTTTGCTGTTAATTCAGAGAACGGAAACATCTATGCAAAAAGCACTTTTGACTTTGAACAGCTCAGGAGTTTTCATTTCCAGGTGGAAGCCAAAGATCACGGATCTCCAGCACTGAGTACGGCCTTAACTGTGAATGTCCTCATCGCGGATCAAAACGATAACATCCCCGTCATTCTGTATCCTGTGGCCAGGAACGGGTCAGTCGCTGTGGAAATAGTCCCCAGGTTAGCCGATGCCGATTACCTGGTGACTAAAGTGGTGGCGGACGACGCGGACAGCGGGCATAACGCCTGGCTGTCCTACCACCTCTTGCAGCCCTCGGACTCCGGCTTATTTCGGATTCTGGCCAACACGGGAGAACTCCGCACGGCCCGGTCCATGAGGTCCACGGACTCCATCAAGCACAAAGTGATCGTCCTGGTGAAGGACCGTGGCGAGCCATCGCTCTCCTCCACCATAGCCTTGGGTATCCTGCTCGCGGACTCCCTACCCCAAGCTCTGCCGGACTTCGGCGAGGGGCTGGAAGCAAGAGGACATCTCACCACTTTAAACCTTTACCTCATCATCTCTCTCGCTTGCATCTCCTTTGTGTTCCTTGGGTTTATCCTCTTCCTTGTCCTCATGAGGCTCCTCCATTGCAGAACTACTCACCACCGCAGCTGCTGTTGCTTAGGGTGCTGCCCCGAGGATGAGAAGTACGAGAAGTACCGCTACAATGTGCGCATGCTTCCGAGCTCTCACTTCCCTTCAGAGGTGGTGGAGGTCTCAGGGGTGGGCAAGCTTACCCACACCTACTTGTACAGGGCATCTCTGGGCATTGGGCCTAGCAATAACAATTTATTGCTGAATGGAGACGCCAGAAATATCCCCAGTGCTGCAGGATTACAAGCGCCAGCATCGTGTATTCAGATACAGAAGGTGAAAAGCGATCACTTTAACGCTATTTTGTTGGTAAGTAGTTTTCGTTTCAGTAGTTCAGTAGTTCGATGTGCCCCACGGGTTCCCAGACTCCTTCATTTGTCATTTTTATACTTGATGGTAACAGCATTGATCTTATGCCAGCGTGAAGCCAATATATTTATTTACCTACCAGGCAGAGGGTAGCATTATGGCAACACGAACAAAATCTCCAATCGCTTATGTCCCCCCTTTCCCCTAAGAACCGAAAGCGAAAGAGACATATGCCCCAGGAACACTAGAATGATCTGCCATATCTAAACGGGGGGGGGGGGTGCTCAGTAACTACAACTTACTGTGTGTGACGAAAAGAAAATACTGCCACAGTGCCATTACACTACATAGGAAGCCACAAGAAAAGACGAAATGAAACGAGTGAAGAATAAATTGACTAGCAAGTTCAAATACATATACACGCCTGTGCACCTGCGTGTATGCAGGAGCGTGGCGGCCGCCCGGACGCTGGAATTCGGCAGCCGGAGCGGTCGCCCCAGCGGCAATGGCCGCCTGCCTCCCGGGTCTGGCCGCAGCCGCCGCGCGCGTCCAAACGGTGGCGCCGCACTTGCGGCAAAGCGCGGCACGGGAGCTTTCGTTCAGGCGCCCCGCTGCCGTTTTTAAGCCCCGCTTTAATTAGAGCTGCCCCACCCCAAGTGCCAAGTGACAAAGGTCACGAGAACAACAAATCTGCTTCATCAATTATAAAGTTTTCTACTCCTTGAGGTTTTCCTTTGGGAAAGGGGAAAGTGTGAGAAGAGAATTTGCGGTGGAAAGGTGGTATTTAAGTCCTAAGAATAAGTTTCAAAGGATCCTAATAGTCCTCAATTTCCTTAAGTTCTTCAGAAATCGGTACAACATATACTGTTTGAAATGAAATGAGATCTTTTAAAACAACCAAAAGAATTTGTAAAACTAAAAAGTTTTCAAGTCTTTTCAGCTAATGACTTCCTTTTTGGAAGGAAGCCTCTTGTTATGACTTCCATTTTGCCGTTTCAAAGCATTATTCTGTTTCATTTAATCAAAACTGTTTCGCTGTTTCAACGCGTTTTGATGTTTTGCTCATAGGCTATAATGGGGAATTGCAAAAATGCCTATAACTTTGTCATTTCTTGCCTGATTTGGATGAACATTGTGGAGATGGTAGCCCCATGTAAGGGCATGAAGTCTGCCAAGTTTCAAGGAGATAGGTGCAGGGGTTTTTGTGACACTGCAACTCAAACTGTTCAAAGCAAAACCAGTATGGTTTGCCTGTAGCAGCATCCTGCTGTCATCCCACAGGCAGATCCAGGGGCTGCGTCCCCTGGGAGGAGTCTGGCACAGCCCTGCAGCCCTCCCAGGGGGCACAGGCCACTGGATCTGCATGCAGGATGACAGCAGGCTGCCACTGCCAGTTGGGGCCAGGGCCAGCACTAGGTTCTTCCCAGTGCTCAGCACAGGCTGTGCCAGGTAGACTCAGGTGCTAGCGCTGGCCCCAGCCAGCAGCTGCAGCATGCTGTCATCTAGATGCTCTGCAGCCGGTGAGTGTGAAACTTAAAAAAAAAAAAGCCATGCACTTACCAGTTCTGGCAGCAGTGACTGGGGCCTCTGAGGGCTCATAGCAGATCTCCCCATGCAACAGGGGGCAGCAGGGATTGCCCCCCCCACCCATGTGGCAGCTGCACCATCACACGGGTGCAGTGTGGGTGGCAGGGTGGTGTGCACTGTCTGGTAGCTGTGGTGGCTCCACCTATCAGCCAGAGCTCCCGGTTTGATTCCCCAGCTCTCTGATCATTCCCCCAGCTTTTCCCCCGGGGGTGCAGCCCCTGGATCTGCATGTGGTTTCAGCAGGCTGTTGCTGCTGGCTGGGGAAATAGCCCAGAGCCATCACCAACAGCTGGCAGTCACAGTCTCCTGTCATCTTGCATCATCTGGGTGCCTGTTGGGGATCCTGTATCAGCTGGGGTCCTGGGAGGTCAAAACAGCTTTGAAATGAAACACCTGTTGACATTTTGCACAGCCCTACTTTTTAGCTCTTTTATCTATGATTAAATCAGCTTTAGCTAAAAGCACTGAAAAGCCCTGCTGAAGTGCCCAATCTATATAGATGCTGTAGAGCCAGGTTAAAATAAGTGCAGCTTCTTCTGGTGAAGCACTTTTTTAAAAAGTCTGCAAGCAGCCCATATGTGGTAGAATCCTCCCAACTGATTGCACTCCCTCCAATATTTGCTGTTTCCGTACCATAAATGCATTGCACTTCTTCAAAAGATCTAAATATATTTTCTTTGAATAACTATGCAGATTATTTTACATGTACGTACTCCCAGATGTTAATGTTTCCTAATGAATTATTATGGTTAAATTCAGTATTATTATGTATAGGTGCTAAAGGTGATGGTTTTGAAGTTAATTTCTCAAATGTGTTATCCTAGGTTTCCATTGTTGTTTTCATGAAGGGCCGATTATATGCTGAATCTGGCCTGGAAGATTTCTTTAGCCATAGTAATATATAAGGGTTGACTATCCTTTTACAGATTTTGAATTGCCATTTTTTAATTTAATCAATTGTGTCTGTGTGCTACATTATGAGATGGGGAGAACCTGATTTCTACAGGCTATTCATTATTTTATTACATTCCTTCTTATTTATTTCTTTTTATAAGGTAAATAACTAGTCTTTTCAATTTCTCTTTTACAAGAGAAATTTTCCATGCCACTAATCATTCTCTCACCCTTCCATGAACGCTCTCTACTACTGCAATTAAATCTTGACCTATAAATATATATTAGTTCTGGTTTGCAGTTTTCTGATGTACTCACCATTAGCTGACTAATTTTTACCAAAGCTAAAGCAGATTTAAAATCCTCTTACAGGCTACAATTCTGGGTGCAATAATTCTACATTAACTCATATAAACTGAGTAATAAGAAACCATGTATTGACTTTGATTTTCCCATCAGAGGTCACCAAAAAGTCATCATTATTTATTATTGGATATCAGTCAGTCACATGCCTTTAAATCAGAACATTGAAATATGATATCCTTATTCTTACCGGATTTTGAGAATGGGAAAAACAACTCTCAGATGTGACCTTTGGTGATTTTATTAACACCCTTTAAACAGAAATTGTAACCTACGATAGAAGCCTCCTGGGAAGGCCAAAGGACATATATGAATATAACTGAGCAAAGTTGGGCAAGTGAATGAAAGGCTTCAACATTTACAGCCACATCTGTCCTTAACACTAGAGTACTGTCACTTGATTATTATTGCTGATTCTCTTGTTGCTGATAATGAGGATTAATCTACCAAGGAATCAACTCTGCATGTATTTCCACAAACCTGCAGTCCATTAAAACAATATAACAAGTCAAACAGTACAAACTGGAAATCAAACAGTACAAATTGGAAATACATATACAATCATTTGTTTGCTTTAATTTCTAGTGAATGTTAGATATACCAAAGAAATTTAATATGACATCTAGTCTAACCATGATAACAATGTACTAGAAGATTAAGTTTCCTCTGATCTGATATGGTATGTAACAACATGGTTGGGGACCACAGTTTGAACTAATTTCTGCAAAATGATCCATGAACAGAAATTCTGTTCAACTCAGACATGATTTCTGTAAGTCAAAGAATCACAGAGACCTCTTATTAATAAAGAAAAGAAGAAGCAAGATGAATAATTGACTACATTATGCACTTTAATGCATGCACACTGATTTTACTGGCAGTTGGATATGTATACCTAAGAGCTGAATTTTATCCCATATTTTTCTGAAGGGGACTGTAAAATTACTCCTGATTAATATTTAATGATGTGTTATTTAAGCATTGCATATTATTAAAACATTAGTAGCAGCTCCAAATGTAAGGTTACATCTACATTTTACATACAGTAGGATATAAATCCCTTTTTGAACACTTTTTGACATGCATTCATGACTTGTTAGTTCCCCCCCAAAATCTCAGTATTGAACTATACCAGTAGTTATGTGTAAAGAGGGAACATGAATAGAAATGAGATTTAAGAGGAAATTGTTTTTGATGATGTATTTTTGTTTATTTGGTGGTGGTACATTTTTTCTATTGAATTAAGTGAGTGACTTGGATATTCTTTACAAACACAGAGGCGAGACTCTTCTGTGTTTTTATATCTGCTATTTAGGTTATGTCTAAATTAGGACTACAGAAAGCCTCATGATAAAATCAGTCTTAACTATATGTTTTTAAAGATTTTTCTGCTTTTTGTGCAATGTAGCATGCATAACAGTGAAGTGAAAAGCATGTTATTCTCTGCTTCTATACTAAGTCGTACTTCCAATAGACACTCTGGAGTGGTGGGATTACTCAGGTGTGTAAAGTCTATTTACCTGAATAAAGATTTCTAAGATCATGGTCTACTCATAGCATTCCATACATTTGTTCATTTTATCTTTTGTGCTTGATGAATGACATGCATTGAGTGTAGTGACCCTTGAGTGCTTTCACATCTAATATTTAGGTTACATCTAAAAATAGAACTAAATGACCTAGCAACAGAGAATATTTTTACTGTGTCTTTTAGACCTTCATGGGGTGGAAACATTTTATGCAATTTGGCATGGACATGAAGTGACAAATGTGAAATATACTGGCATTTTGACAGTGGCATGCCATTTAGATTATGCTGCCCCAGGCTAAAGCTCTAATAGAATTACTCACTTGAGTAAGGACTATTCATGTGAACAAGGCATTCCTGAATCATGCTTTAACAGTTATATACTAGAGCTGTAATAGCATAACCTACTCAAAACAAAGAGTGGTATATGCTATCCAAGGCTTTTCTGTTCTTACCCTATGAGAAGGTCTTCAGAGGCTGCAATTTCATGTCTAATTCAGATTATATGACGTGACAGTGTTAGGCAAGAATTCTTGTGGGTAATAGCTTTGATATGGTTGGGATAGACATAGGCAAGCTTTTGGGTATCATAGTACCTTTCCTCAGGCCTCTGGGCGAGAAGCAGCAGAGCTAAGTAGTAGATGGAGAAAAGTTGTGTAAAACTGCATGTGTAGAGATATGGTTAGTGTAAGTTAGTATACTATGGTTAGTGATAGTGTTAGTACACTGAGTTCAGTTGACTTCACTAAGTAATTTCCCTAGTTTATCAAAGTACATCTTTGGGAAATCAATAACCTCAGTTACAGGCCTATTTGCTTAAATTTCCAGTTCATTTAAATGGAACTAGCTTGTGATAATATAATCTGAAGTTATTTTCTGTGATTAGCTTGTATAATATCCTCAGTTCTACCCAAAACAAGCCTATAACCATATTCTCTTGGTTGGTTCACTATTTAGTGAAATCTTTAA